CCTTAAGAAATTTGCTATATTTAGAAAGGATGATAGCCCAGAATCATTCATTAGTTTGTTTGAATGTGCATGCTGGGACTTTGAGGTGAGAGGGGCAGAGCGCATTATCATGCTAAGGTCTCAGATAAGTGGGAAGTTAACAGAAATTTATTCCCAAATGCCATTAGACCAAGCCAGAGACTATGAGGCATACAGAAAATTGATTTTCTCGAGGTTTGGAATAAATGCTGAACATCTAAGATGGAAATTTAGGGCATTGACTAAAAAGCCTGAGGAAATCATATTCTCAATTGGGGGCAAATATGGTGAGATACTTGGAGAAATGGCTTGAACAGTCAAAGGTCGAGACATTTGAAGATATGAAAATTATTATAGGCCTTGAACAATTTTATTCAGTTCTACCTGGGGAATTGAGGTATTTAATAAGAGATAAAAAGCCCAAAAATATTCAGGAGACAAGGAAAACAGCTGATTATATTACAGAAATAAAACATCCAAAATTCTCAGAGATAAAAATTGGAGGGAAAGCTTGGGATGACAGAAGGAAAGAACCCAGAGAGTACCTCAAGAATCAACAGGCAGTTGGAAGCCATTTTAGAGGCAAGCCCTCAGAGCAGAGCCAGCAGAGATATAAGAACTTGGAAGGGAAGGAAGAAAAGTCCCCAAATTTTGAACAGAAAGTCTCTAAATCCTATTTTGGCTGTGGTGGAAAAAGGACATTTCATAGCACAATGCTCAAAGAATAGAGAGTTTGGACAGCAAAAAGGAAATATGCCCAAGAAAGTATACTGTGTACAGCAGAATAAAGCAACCACAAAGGCAATTGAAATGGGAGCCATAGCAACCCCAGTTACTGCTAGAGCGCAGAGAGTCAAGAACAAGTGGCATTATGCCATCCAGAAATAATCTCTCAAGAAAATATATTGAGAAATGACAGCCTCACTGTTAAAGGGATTGGATCAGAGCTAATTACTTTACCGGTGGCTAAAATACCAATAAAATATCAAGGGTGGAATGGGATGTGGAAAATGGGAATTACAGATCAACTTCCTGCTCCATGCTTGATAGGGCTAGATCTCTCTGAGCATGTTAAGAGTGTTTTGGTGAATACTCTCTCCCAGAATGAAAAAAGGAAGCATCTGAGGAAAAACATGAACTCCCTAATGAAATAATAAGAGGGAAGGAAGCTGATGAGACAGCTTATTTAGTAGCTATAAGGAATCCACATGAGAATACTTTTATAAAGGAACAAAAAGCAGATTCTACCTTAGAACAATGCTCTAAGATGGTTAGAGAAGGACCAAAAACCCCTGAGAGCCCTGAAAGGTAATTTGTGGAAAAAGACCAATTATATAGAAAGGTCTTAATAAATCCTAGGAGGGGAGGGGAGAGCCTTCATAAACAACTGATAATCTCTTCTAAATACAGAGAGAAAATAATAGAAAAGGAACACACAGAGAAGAGCACAGAGTGCTGTCCTCTGAAGATGCCGGCCACAGAGACTGGCAAAACGTTAGGAAGAACAAACTTCAGAATACAGCCAAAGAACCTGAAAAACCCACAACAACCATTAGATCCTAGCCGTGAAAGCCTTCACGAATACATTGAACACACAGACACCTTTTCTGCTCATTTGGGGATTACACGCACTAAGCAGAGAATATCTCAGAATTTTTACTGGCCAGAAATGGGAAAGCAGATAAAAGCATTTTTTCAAAGCTGTGACATATGTCAAAGACAAGGGACTAGTAATTATAAAACTAAAGCCAAGTTGTGCCCTTTACCTATTATCTCAACCCCTTTTCAATGTA